GGTCGACTCTTCAGGATCCCCAGTAATATTTTTCAATTCAAACCTACTCATGGGGACCCCCCTTGGGAGAGCCTGATATTTCATTTAAAGTAAATATTGCTCTAAAGAGGGGCCACTAGAAAGGGGGCCCCCAAGGGGGCCCCCAGTGGGGCCCCCAAGGGGGCCCCTCGACGCCGCGCCCTGAGCCGGGGGGCCCCAACAGGGGGGCCCCCACTGGGGGGCCCCCCTTGGGGGCCCCTGATATTTCATTTGAAGTAAATATTATTTTTCTAAAGGCAGATAATGTTTTATTTGAAGTTTATTTGAAGTGAAGAATATTTCTTTTGAAGTAAATAACATTTTGCTAGAAGAAAAATATTTTAATTAAAGAATATTTCATTAAGAGTAGGTAATAGTAAATTAAAATGAATAAGTTTGAATTTAAATATATTTCATTTAAACTAAATAGTATTTTATTTAAAGTTATTTATGTTTCTTTTGCAGCCTGCATGCATGCAGGCTAAAATGTGAAAAAGCCTGAAGTGCATGCATGCACGCATGCATCCACGCATGCATGCATGCATGCATGCATGCATTTCGGGGCTTTTCACTTTTTGCAATGGTATATATAAAGGGGCATTTCTTTAAGTCTTTTTGGCTTTTTGCGTCCAACTGCGACGCAGTAAATAGCCACAAACTGCTGCTGCTGTGCTGCTGCTGCAGCTGTGTTGCTGCTGCTGTGATGCTGCAGCAGCGGTAATGTTGCAGCAGCTGTGATGCTGCAGCAGCCGTGATGCTGCTGCTGCTTTGATGCTGTAGTTGCTGTGTTGCTGCTGCAGCTGTGCTGCTGCTGCAGCTGTGCTGCTGCGGCTTCTTGCTTATGAGGGCCTTACAGCCAGCTGCTGCAAAACATTCCCCCGCTGTCTCTCTTAGACACTCTTTTAGGGTTTAGGGTTTAGGGTTTAGCGTTTACGGCTGTCTTAAACCGCCTGCCTCTGCACTTTGTCCTCTTCCCTCATTGTTCTCAATGCGCGTTTTCCTGCTGCTGCTGCTGCTGTTGCTGCTGCTGCAGCTACCGCTGCTGCACCAGCAGCAGCTGCAGCAGCAGCAGCAGCGGGTGCTTCAGCTGCTGGAGCTCCTGCCCCTACTGCTAGTTTTGTTGCTGCAGCCGCTCCTGCTGCTGCCACTGCTGTTCTGCCGCTGCTGCTGCTGCTGCTGCTTCTACTGCTGCTGCTGCTGCTGCTGCTGCTGCAGCTGCTGCTGCCTGGGGGCCCTCTTGAGGAGAGCCTGCAGCTGCACGTGGCGAGAAGGGCAAAGAGCTTCTGCTGCTTCGGGTTCATTAATGGCTTTTTTGAGCATGTCTGAAAATGAAAAATTAATTTAATTTAATTAATTAATTTAATTAATTAATTAAATTGATTAAATTAAATCCAATTAAATTAGTTTAATTTAATTCGATAAATTGATTGCGCCTTTAAAGACGCAAGAAGCAGCAAAGACACAAACACTGCAGCAGCAAAAGAGACACAGAAGCAGCAAAAAGAAAAAAAGGAAAGCCAAAAAGATAAATGGAATAAAAAGGAAATAAAAGAACACAAAAGAAATAAAAAGAAACAAAAAACAAGAAATTAAAAAGTAAAAAATAATTAAAAGAGAATTTAAAAGATCTGAAGACTCACCAACGCCCTGTTCTCCTGTGACTCTGGAAAGTTGAAATAAATGTTCCCCCACAATCAGCACGCGCAAACCTGCAGCAGCAGCAGCAGCAGCAGCAGCAGCAACAGCAGGCCGGCCACATGGTGTTCGTCCAGGGTTGCGTAGTCCACGTGCGGCACTTCCCAGCAGCAGCAGCAGCAGGGGGCAGCAGCAGCAGCAGCAGCATGGGGCAGCCGCAGCAGCGGCAGCACGAACAGAGGCACATGCCAGCAGCAGCAGCAGCAGCAGCAGCAGCAGCAAGAGATGCTGCTGCATCTTTTTACCTTGGTCCTTAAAGAGAGTTTCCAAGTGTCTCTTCTTCACATATTTGCTTGCTGCAAAAAGAGACAAACAAATCAGCAGCAGATTATATAAAAACGCCCCGCAGCAGCAGCAGCAGCAGCAGCGACATCCGCAGCAGCAGCAACAGCGTCTCCTCACGGCCAAGGCAGCGCTCGTCGATCTCGAGGACCAGCTGCAAACAAATCATCACAGACCCTAAACGAGGGTTTAGGGTTTAGGGTTTAGGGTTTGGCAGCCACAGCCCCCAGCTGCTGCAGGCCAGGCCCCCTTGAAGGGTTTAGGGTTTAGGGTTTAGGGTTTACCTGTCTCCCTGGGCAGTAGAAGGAGACATTATAGGGCCCCAGCTGCTCATTATAAATCCACACGTCTGCTGCTGCTTTGCTGCTGCTCTCCCCCTGCTGCTGCTGCTGCTGCTGCTGCGGCTGCTCTTGCTGCTGCAGCTGCTTCTGCTGCTGCTGCTGCTGCTGCTGCTGCTGCGGCTCATCATCGTACAGGTCCTCCATTTCGAGTTCGTCAGCAACTCCGCTACCCCCGCTGCCGCTGCTGCTGCCGCTGCTGCTGCTGCTGCTGCTGCTGCTGCTGCTGCTGCTGCTGGGCTGCACGTGGGCCCCCAGCTTCTCAAGGGCCCTCCGAAGAGTAAAGTGGAGACGCCGCGTTTGGCGGCGGTCAAGGAGACTCTGCACTCGTGCTGCTTCTGCTGCTGCAGCAGCAAGGGTTTGCTGCAGCAGCAAAGGGTGCAGCAGACGCAGCAGCGGCAAACGATGCAGCAGAGGCAGCAGCAGCAAAAGAAACGAAAGCAGCAGCAAGAGACAGGTGGAAACAGAAAGGGAAAAAAAGAGACACGGGAGCAGTGTTGCTGCTGCCGCTGCTGCTGCTGTTGCTGCTGCTGCTGTTGCTGCTGCTGCTACTGCTGCTGTTCTAGGAAGCCAAGGAGACAAAACAGCAGCGCGAAAGGACAAGGCAGCAAAAGGCGTGGAAGCAGCAGCAGCAAATAAACTTGAAATAATAAAAAGAGACAAAATGAGACAAAAAAGGAGGCAGAAAAGATATTTAAAAGGATAAAAAAAGAAAACAAAAAACAAAAGAAAGATAAAGTAACATTAAAAGGGATTAAAGGAGACAAAAAGAAACCAAAGGAGACATAAAAAGAGGCAAAACAGACTAAAAAAGAAAAGAAAGAAAAAAGAAAAAAAGAAAAAAAGATTTACCGGAACTTCGATGTTGGGCAGCAGGTGTCTAGACACCTCAAGTTCCGTCAGTATGTCCTGAGAAGAAAAGTTTCATTTTTATTTAAATCATTTTTATTTAATTTAAATAAATAAATAAATAAATAAATAAATAAAAGAAAAAAATAAATAAAAGATTAAAAGAGATAAAAGAAATTCATTTGTGCATGCAAAGAATTCACAAAAAAGTCTCCAATTCAAAAATTAAAATATTTAAAAATTAATTTTTAAAATTTATTTCAAGGTTTTGTTTTTAGAGTTGGGAAAGAAGAAAAGAAATAAAACAAAATGACAAAAAACAGAAAGAGATAAAAGGGAATAAAACAAGAAATAAAAAGATATAAAAAGGCAAAAGGAATAAACTAGCGGGCTGCGAATCCAGCAGCAGCAGCAGACACAAAAAAGGAAACACAGGAGCAACAAAAAAGATACAAAAAGATAAAATTGAAAGAGGACAAAAAAGGACAAAAATAATTTTAAAAATGAAAAGAATTGGAATTTAAAAGGAAATAAAATGAATTCAGAAGAGTTAAAGAGAATCAAAGAGATATGAAACCAGATTAAAAAATTAAAAAGAATTAAAAAGAATTAAAAGAAGTTGGAAAGAGACAAAAGAAGAAAAAAAGACAAAAAAACAAAAAGACAAAAAGACAAAAGTAGAAAAAGACAGAAGTGCAAATATTGGGAGACACAAAAAAGAAAAAGCAAAAAGATAAAAAAGAAAACACAAAAAGATAAAAGGAAAAAACAAAAGGACAAAAAGAGATAAAGGGAAAAAGGAGAAGACAAGAGGAGACAAAAAGAGATAAAAAGAAAAAACCGAAAAGAGACAAAAGAGAAAAAGCAAACAAAAAGAGACAAAAGACAAAAAGATAAAAAGAGACGAAAAGAAATAAAATAAAAAGACAAAAACAAAAAGACAAAAAGAGACAAAAGAAGAAGACAAAGACAAAACAAAAAGAAAAAAGAAAGTTTTACTGGAATGAGAGCGAGGGCCAAAGGCTGTTCTGTCTCCACTTTAAAAAGGGACTGCTGCAGCAGCAACGAGACAGCTGTGGGGTCCCAGCTGTCTGCAGCAACTGCGGGGTCGAAGGCCCTCAACGCGCACACGGCCCAGCACAGCCGCTGCAGCAGCAGCAGCAGCAGCAGCAGCAGCAGCAGCAGCAGCAGGATGTTGGGGTTTGGTTGGAGGAGCGAAGGGACGGATTCAGGGAAAAGGGGAGTAAATGCAAAATATAAATTAATTTTAATTTCATTTAGATGAAATTAAAATCAATTTAAAATCTTTTTCGAATAAAACGCTTTTCGAAATTTGCAAAGCGGCCACGCGCAGGTGTACGTACACCCGAAAACGCGGGAGGCAAGAAACGCCCAAGTGGCGCCAAAGGGCCCAAAAAAAGCGCCAAAGTGGAGAATAAAAGTCGAATTTAATTAAATTAATTAAATAAATGAATACTTGGATTAAAATGGTCCAAAAAAGGAGAAAACAAATCCAAAAATGGAACTTTTCACGCAAATTCCACTCACCGCGAAAGTCACCGACTGCGCCGGCTGCGACTCCTCCAGCCCAGGGGCCTCCAGCAGCAAATGGTTTATTAAACCTCCAAAGAGTTCTACAAATAAATAAATAAATAGATAAATAATAAACAAATAAATAGATAAATAAATAAATAAATAAATAAATAATAAATTGTAAATCAATTAGATCTGCTGCTGCTGCTGCTGCTGCTGCTGCTGCTGTTGTTGAATTTACTGGGTTGCAGGCGTTTATGACAGCAGCAAAAAGAGCTGCTGCTGCTGCTGCTTCTACTAATGTTGCTGCTGCTGCTTGTTTTCTAAGACTACTTGGGTGCTTCTGCTGCTGCTGCTGCTACTGCTGCTACTGCTGCTGCTGCTGCTACTGCTGCTGCTGCTTCTAAGCTTACTCGGATTAACACCGTTGAGTGCAACAGCAAGAAGTGCTGTTGCTGCTGCTGTTGCTTCTCTAAGCCTACAACTAGAGTGCTGCTGCCGCTGCTGCTGCTGCTGCCTGCTGCTGCCGCTGCTGCTGCTGCTGCTGCTCTTACTCGGGTTAACGCCGTTGAGTGCAACAGCAAAAAGAGCTGTTGCTGCTGCTGCTGCACTCAGCCGCTGCGCCTCAGCATAAAGAGGAGACACTCGAGAGACTCTCTTCAGCAGCACTTGAATGAAGAAACTTAATTCTTCTTCTGTCACTGAGGGACAAAAAACAATAAAACGAATAACTATTAATTGTTTATTAATTATTAATTATTAATTAATTATTAATTATTAATTACCTGTAAATTAATTGTAAATTGATTTGTTAAAGGGAAATAAATCCTTTAATACGCAATTTGCAGCATTTAGAACCAGCAGCTTGTTTAAAGCAGCAGCAGCAGCAGCAGCAGCAGCAGCAAACAGAACTAGCTTCAGACGAAAATAAATAAAATAAATGAAATAAGATACGTCAAAACAAATAACATAATTAAATGTAATTACAACTGAAAGTAATTACTCTTGAAGAGTAATTTAAATCGGAAAAAAATAATTCAAATTAAGATTATAATTGAAGGAATAATTATAAATCAAAATGAGATGTAATTTAAATAAAATTAAAATCAAAATGTGGAATGCATTTATAATTAAATAAAATATTAAAAAAGAAATAAAATTAAAAATAAAATTTGCAAGCAATTTTAAAATAAAGTTAAAAAACTTTGAAAACAAAAAACTTCAAACAAAACTGAGAAGTATAAAAAAACTGGAATCAATATTAAATCTAAAATTAAAACCATAAATACAATTTAAATTTAAATTCAAATGTACATTTAAAGTTACAAATAAAACAAAATTAAAACCAAAACTGAAAACTAAAATTAAAATTAAAATTAAGAAAGAAAATCTTACGAAGAACTCGGTTGGCGCAAATGAGAGGAAGAAGTCTCGCAGTTTCATTTGAAGAAAGCCTGAAGTAAATAAATAAATGAATAAATAAATAAATAAATAAACAAATAAATAAACAAGTGAATAAATAAATAAATAAACAAACAAATAAATAAATAAATAAATAAATAAATAAATAAATAAATAAATAAATAAATAAATGAATAATAAATTAATAAATAAATTAATCAAAAGTAAACAATTGAAGATAAAAAGGACAGGG